ACTTTCCTCGCTTAATAGGAAATTATAGGATAAACAGTAAGAGGTTACCCTGTAAATCACAAATATCAATCATTTTTTCCTTACCTGTTATCTAGTCATAGCTCAGTGTTTAAACTAAAAATTATCCATTTTCTAATCCTTGCTCCCTACACAGGAATTAATTGTAGAGTGGATGTTTGTCAATAATATTATTATTTATAACTATTATACATGATCTTCTATATCAAACACATCACATCAGAATTATCCTTACTCGAGCCTACTCGTCTAATTCTCATTCCATTGATTTTGTAATAGAGAAATCTCCTTTATAAACTCACCATAATCCTAATTAGAGAGACAAGATAAGGGTTTAGTGAATGCTCATTTGAATTTCCTTGAATATTTAGTTGTCCTCATACCCTTCTCTATTATATTTTTTTTCTTCTAAAATTCTAAATATAAGTTTTCCATCAATATGGTATCTGACACACACCTCACCCTTTTTTCATTTAAACTAATTTAGTTGGGAGTCGTCATTAACAATGAAATTCCTTAATATTCGAGTAATACATAGTTTCTTTCATCCTAATGGTCTTAGTAAGAGCCAAGCTTAAGTTTCAAAATAGATGGTTTCAGCTTCAGTTCTTTACCAGCATAGCTTCATCTTTTTTCTAAAAAACCAAATAGCTTTCTTTGTAAGAAGTGCTAATCCAAAGGCCAATTAATTTATAGAAATTATTTACTACTATCTATCTGGCTGAATGTAATTTATTGTTGATAAGCTAAATACAATTTTAAAACGGTAAAAACAATTTAATTTATTAAGCCTTTAAATTTTACAAAAAATTATAAATATTGTTCCAACTAGTAGGAGATCATTAGAGATAATTATTAATACTCTGATAAAGTCTGTATTTAAGCATAAATAAATGAATTGTATAATGTACTAAATTCAGATTATTCTAATGTTAAAATATTAAAATGTAGAAGAATTAACATAGAAAATTAAACCCTTTATATTTGGGTTTGCGATTATGAAGAATCTGAAGATAGAAGAATTAATATTAATGATCCAGACTACACTCCTTTTAAAGATCTGCTTGTTTAAATTATATTCTACATTAGTAGATACAAGTTTTTGGAATATTGCATGCATTATTTCATACTAAAGAGCCACATGCAACAAAATACAATAAGTAATACTAGACTTTAAAATTTTGTGTTTTGAAATACAAGGAATTAAATTGCTTTAGTGAATTTTATTAATTTGATCAATAAATTTGAATAATAAATGTATGATTCTAAAACAAAATGATGATCGTAAATTGGGAAAGAAAAAATAGCTTTTTATATCTGATGGAATAAATTAAAATATTGGTTTAAAAATTTATAGTTCAGTTAAAATATAATTAAATATTAACATTATTTAATTCCATGATTTAACCAATTTCTATTAATCCTTAAGATGAAATAGTATGGTATGATAAGGGTAATAAAATGTTAAATATAATAATTAGGAAGAGCATTAGCAAATTTGCATTAATATAAAGAAGCAATATAATGTTTTGAAGCAGCTATTTGTATTAACCTTAAATATGATGCTGCATGGATTAGCAAGAGTAATCTATTGTTCAATATTGATCTTTAGGTAATGCATTACTAGTTTTGAAATAATATCAAGAAGCTATTTATTGTTACGATAAAGCGATATCTATTAATCCTAAAAAATTTGATGCATGGAATGGCAAGGGTATTTAATTGTTAAAAATTAATAATAAGGTTATGCATTAGCAAGTTTGTAAAAATTTTAAGAGGCAATTGAATGTTACGAAGAAGCAATAATTATTAACCCTTAATATGTTGATCTATGGTATAATAAGGGTAATGAATTGTTAAAAATAATATTAAGGTAGTGCGTTAGCAAATTTGAAATAATATCAAGAAGCAATTGAATGTTACAATCAAGCAATAATTATCAATCCTTAATAAGATGATGCATGGTATAATAAAGGTAATTAATTGTTAAATATAAATATTAAGGTAATGCATTAGCAAATTTGAAATTATATCAAGAAGCAATAGAATGTTATAATTAAGCAATACATATTAACCCTCAATATTTTGATGCATTCTAGAGCAAAGGTAATTAATTGTTAAACATAAATATTAAGGTTGTGCATTAGCAGATTTGAAATAATATCAAGAAGCAATAGAATGTTATAATGAAGTTATAAATATTAACCCTCAATATGTTGATGCATGGTATAGCAAGGGTAATTAATAGTTAAATAATATATTAAGGTAATGCATTAGCAAATTTGAAATAATATCAAGAAGCAATTGAATCTTACAAGGAAGCAATAATTATCAATCCTTTATTAGTTGATGCATGGTATTATAAGGGTAATACATAGTTAAATATTCTTATTTAGGTAATGCATTATGTAATTTAAATCAATATAAAGAAGCAATAGAATGTTATAATGAAGCAATAATTATTAATTCTTAATATTTTTATGCATGGTATAATAAGGGTAAAAATTTGTTAAATATAAATATTAGGCAATGCATTAGCAGATTTAAATTTAAATCAAGAAGCAATTAAATGTTACAATTAAGTAATATTTTTAAACCCTAAATATGTTGATGCATGGTATAGCAAGGGTAATTATTTTTTAAATGTCAATATTTAGGAAATGCATTAACTAATTTGAAATTATATAAGGAAGCAATTGAAAGTTATGATCAAGCAATTTTTATGAATCCAAAATACAATTCTGCATGGAATAACAAGGGTAATTAATTTTTTAACAATTAATTTTTAGGTAATGCATTATACATTTTGAATAAAAATCAAGAAGCAATTCAATCGTATAATTAAGCAATAATTATTAACCCTTAATAGGTTGATGCATGGTATAATAAAGGTAAACATTTGTTAAATATCAATATTAAGGTAAGATATTAGCAAATTTGAAATAATATTAAGAAGCAATTGAATGTTATAGTGAAGCAATAGTTATTAACCCTTAATTTTTTGATGCATGGTATAGCAAGGGTAATTAATAGTTTAATTTAAATATTAAGGTAATATATTAGCAAACTTGA